GGTTGTGTCATCTGCATAATGCAGATTGTTGATAGATCATCCACCAATCCTAACGCCACGCTTCTCCTCATAGAGCCCAGCCTCTCGGATAATCTGATCTGCGTATAGGTTGGAAAGGTGTGGAGATAGGACACATCCCTGGCATACACCCTTCCCAATTTTGAACCATTCAGCGTTGCCCTGCTCTGTTCTGACTACTGCCTCTTGGTCCAAGTATAGGTTTCGCATTAGCACGATTAAATGTTCTGGGATTCCCATTCGCTGCTACGGCATTTAATAACAACTCTTCTTGCAACTGTACCAGCAGCAGTGAGAAAACTTTCTGCATCAAAGCCTGTTGCTCAGGCACATGCAGGCCCACAAAAGAATGGACTTTCCACCCCTTCAGGTCAGTCTGGTTTAGGTGGCATCCTGGTCAATGAGAGGGAGTCAGAATGGCATGCATGAAGCTGGCTGGAAGCTCCCTCCTCACTCTCTCAACCCCGTCACAGCGCTGTCACTGCAGGGGGCACTCCACACACTGGACTCAGTGACAAAGGATGTGGGTGTTGCTGCCAGAGCACAGCCTGGCCCATCCTGAAGTCCTCCAACGGGCAGTACCTGCATTTGCTCAGGCCGAAGTGGACAGGAGTAACGTCGAGTGACTGGATGTTGAGTGGAGGGTCCAGTTGCCAGGCTGGAAGGCTAAATAAGCGCTGTCTTTAGGACATATCTTGAACGACTATGACGTGAGTCAAAAAGAGCTAGAGACCCAGCGTCTCCGTCCCAGTACACACACTCCAAATGTGAGACAGACTGCTCATAGCACAGGATCCAGGGCCATTCCAGGAGCAGGAAAACCATGTTCTCTGGTCCAGAGCAAGTGTGCACAAACCCACGGGCACCACACGCTGCTCCCTAGTGCTCAGGTCTCACATCCAAACACCAGTGGTTATGTCCCACATGCTGCTCAAGAGTCAAACGAGGTGGCACAGTGAGGGGCACCCAACACAACAGCTCTAACCACTCCTTACAGCATCACTCGCTCACACCCAGGGAGCACCGGGTGTCATTATGCACCCTTGATGGGAACTGTACACTGTACAATCAGTGACAACGACAGCCCACCCCAATGAGTGCCTGAGTGCTGCCTGGCGTCACAGACCCTCCATGGGAACCACACCTCAGTGACAACACTCAGGCCTGGGGAATGCTGGCCTCCCTCACAGGAACCAGCAGTGACCATAGTATAGTACTAGGCACTGTTCCCATCCCAGACTGAAAGTCTGAAAGTCCACCACCTCTCAGGAAGAGTTAGAAGGGGAGGCAGCACTCGGTGAAGGACTGCCCTGCTGGACGGTGATCCCAGGCCCTTTCACTCTGGATGGGCACTGCTGCTCTGGGCTCTGAGGAGAGACTCTCCACAAACACTGTTCTCACAGGCATGAACCTGTGCCAAGGCCATAGGAGATGCCAGGGAAGATGAGGGAGGGAGATGACCACAGAGAAGGCCATTTCTGCAGCCTTAGAGGAAAGGAATCGGCTCTGCTCTGTGCCCCTGGAGGCCCCAGTTCACCCAGAAGCCTTAACAAAAGCCTGAGGAGCTCTCGGTGTGGGCGTGCAGTGCCCTCTAAGCCCTCACCAGTCCCTTGGCCTCCTCCAGCCAAGAACCTGCTACTTGTGCAGCACACACTCTATCCCTTGGGAGCCTGTGGACAGAGAGCTGTCTCCTTAGTCTCACAAAGCAGTAACAAGGACCACCCTTGAGGACCCATCAGAACTCACATGCAGAACCTCCTGCCGCAGGCTGGCCGGCTCCACACAGCTGACTAGGCGCAGCAGCAAGTCCATCATGGCTGAGGTGCCCAGGTGCTGCAGCACCAGGCTGAGAAACCCATCCTTCTTCTTTAGGAACACGACCACCTGCAACCAGACAGTCCTGTCAGCAAGCAAGGGTGGAACCCACAGGTAGGAATCCAAGGACATCATGCAGATGGCAGATACACAAACAGTACTTGGACACAAATGCTGTCCGAGGCGCTGACCTGGGATGAGTGGGATCACGGGATGGACACAGGGAAGGAGTGGGGGAGGCCATCCCTACATAGTCAGAGGGCCCACACTCTGCACATCCTGTAGGTGGCTCACACACATGCTGTCAGGCAGCAGGACTGCATACACAGCACCCATCAACACAAATGTGCTACGTGTACAAATCAACAAGGCTAAGCCAGTGCCAGGAGGCCCCATTTGCCGGCCAGGCCTGAGGGACACATGAGGGTGAGCAAAGTCAAGAAGAGCATGGGCCAGCAAGACGGCTGACATTCCAGAAGGGAAAAGGAAGACTGAGGTTTCTGAACTAATGATGGTGTCCCAGCCCTGCCTGAGGACCAGTACCAATAGGCTGTGGACAACAAAGCTATGGAATAGGGCTACCAAAGTGTCAGCCAGTGATATCATAGGCCACTAAGGAATCCCTAAATGAGAACAGGTACAGCGGGGCTTGGGCTGAGTCCACTCTGAATGCAATCATGACAGGAAATCAGCTCAAAGCCAACCTCAGCCTCTGGGGGAAAAAAAAGCAACTGAAGTCTGAGACTATACATCTGTGTGGGATGAGAAAGGAGGGAGCAAGAAAGAGACGCTAGAAGGGTGCACAGAAGGGAATGGCCTCTCTGCAAAATAAATAAACTCTCAGAAAGAAGAAGAATGCATAAAAGAAGGAATGAAACCAGGGACATTATGACACACACGACAGATACTGGAACCACTAGAAGGTGCTATCATGAGCCACTTTTTGTAAATTTGTGTGAATTCGGAATAATGAAAAAAAAAATGTTCTTGAAAGACATACTTTATTATCCAAGGTGACAAAAAGAAAATCTGAATAGGCTGTGACTTTGAAAGAAATAAAACTCACAATTGAAATCCTTCCTAAGCAGAGAACTCTAGGCTCTAGGAGTCTTCGTGATGGAACCTATGAAACATGTAACAGGAACACCCTCATCTCACACAGAATGTTCCAAGAAACAGGCAAATGAGAAACTACCGCAGGGCACTGAACAAAGATATAAAACCCTGATACATAAAACCGCCTAAGAGGTGGAAAAATATTATAGGCAGTGTCATGATAAATAGAGATACAAAAAAAATACTGCAATATAAAAGATAGCAGAACACATCACAACCAAGTTGGGTGAATTTTAAGAATGCAAAGTTGTTTGAGCATTAAAGTCAATCAATGTAATTCACCCTCAACAGAACAGAGTGGGGGGAAAATCATACCATCAACTCCACAGTTACAATAAACACATCTGATGAAATTTATCATTCATTCATGTTGTTGTTGTTATTATGTGCCATCGAGTTGCTTGTGACTCATAGTGACCCTATGTACAACAGCCCTAAACCCTGCTCTATCTTGTGCCAATTGCACTGTCTCTAACACACCCATCCTGATTACCCCAGTCACTGAATCAATCCACCTCATAGAGGGCCTTCCCCTCCTGCTCTGTCCCTCTACCCTCCCAAGTATTATGTCCCTCTCCAAGGACCTGTCCCTCCTTACAAGTCCAAAGTATGTCAGATGAAGCCCCAGAATCCTTGCTTCCAAGGAACAGCCTGAATTAACCCTCTCCAGGGTGAATCTGTTTGTTTTAGCAGTCCATGGTACATTCAATAATCTTCTCCAGCTCTACAGCTCAAAGGCATCAATTCTCCTTCTATCCTCCCTAGTCATTGTCCAACTCTCTGAGGCAAACAAGTGATTGCAAAGACCATGGCCAGGATCTGATGCACCTTAGCCTCCAGAGTGACACCACTGCTCTTCAGTACTCTGGAGAGGTCCCTAACAGCAGACTTTCCCAATGCAATACGTCTTTTAATTTCCTGGCTGCTGATGCCAAGAGTGTTGCCTGTACACACAGAGAAGGCTTGGGATTTCTTAAGCCAAAGGGGAACAGGTGTGACCTGGCAGTGGTTTTCCAGAGAACAGCACTCACCTGCTTCAGGTCAAAAGGGGAGCACTGATATCCAGGTCCTTCATAGAACATTGCCCTTCCCTGGGGCATTATACACTTGTAACAGCCTAACATCTACCAAGAAAGCAGCAGGCTGCCTCAAACACCATGAAAAAACAACCCTTCTCCTAAAAAGGCAGAGCATATTGCAGACCCAATGAATACCCCAGATACAGAAAACCAAAAGAAATATTTTGACACAGAGTTACTTAAACAGCTACAGAAGAAGATGCAAATGATGGAAGAAACAATGGAAGCTATTAAGAAAGTGGATACTCCAGAGGCAGGGAGCCTGAAGAAATATATCAATGAAGAGCAAATTAAACAACTACAAAAGAAAATGGAACAAATAAAAGAAAGAATTGAAACTATAGACAAAAAAGTACAAAGACTTAAGAAATCATCACAAGGCAGAGAGGATACAGCCAACACAGTACTAGAAATAACAGAAATGCATGAAAATGCAATCCAGAATATTAAGACCAAAGTAGCAAAAGTGTCTAACACGCTGGAGGGACAAAAAAGTACAACAGAAGAGATGGAATAGAGAGTGAGTGACTGAAATGGACTAAAGAAAAATCAGCAGAGACATAAAGAAAATGAAGAAAACTTAAGAATCATGTAGGATGTCATCAAAATAAACAACATGTGTATGACTGGAACTCCAGAACATCAGAGGAACACGGAAATCACTGAGAAATCACTGTGGAAAAGGAACTAGGAGGAAACTTCCCAGGTGTTATGAAGAACAAAGAAATCTACATCAAGAAGTTCAGTGAAGACCAAATCAGCTAGACCACATAAGAAAACCATCTCAAATGCACCAGATGCTCTGCTGGAGAAGGAGGGAAAATCTCCTCCTGTACCAGTCAGATCTGATTTGACGGTACATACAAAAAAAAATTTTTTTTAAAAGAAAACCATCGATTCGTTCTCCTATATATATCTCTGTATGATTTCAATAAAGTCGAGACTTGATCGGTAAAAAAAAAAAAAAAAAAGAAACACAGAAAAATGGCAATGATAAAACCTGTCCTGTCCTGTCAGTAATTGCACTTAATGAGAATGGACTAAATGTGCCACTTAAAAGAAAAAAATAGCAGAATGGATTAAAAAAACAAAGGCCATCCATATGTTGCTTACAAGAGACATATCTAAGAAACAAAGAGAAAGATAAACAAAATCAAAGGCTAAAGAAAAATATGCAAGCAAATGGCATCCACAAAAAAAAGTAGAAGGGGCAATACTAATCTCTGATAAAATTGACTTCTGAATGAAAATCACCATGTAAATAAGGAAGGACACTACATAATGATTAAAGGCACAACACATCAAGAAGACATAACCTTGGTCAACATTTATGCACCAAATAATGTTGTTGTTGTTATGTGCCGTCGAGTCGCTTGTGAGGCATAGCGACCCTATGTACAACAGCCCTAAACTCC